ATTTTAAAAGGCTATAGTTTAATTATTGTTTTAATAATTCTTCTATGACTACTTTCTGCTATTTAGCAGTGAAATTGTGCTGGACCGTTTATCTTCCATCTCCTTCTGCTCTTACCTCTACTGTACGACTTAAGTCCACATAACTTGGCGTAACAAATTAGCCTGAATTAGCTCAGAAATCACGGGATAAAAGGACAAGTCCTTTTGTGAATCAAAAACTGGCTAATTAATAGGAAACAGTGAGTGTAAATGGGCAATTTTCTCAGTGGAGGGTTGTAAGCAGTGGGATACCACAGGGATCAGTACTTGGTCCAGTACTTTTTAACTTTTCCGCTAATGATTTGGAGTTGGGAGTAAGCAGTGAAGTGGTAAGAACCAGGGAGGATTGTGAGGCACTCCAAAGGGATCTGTGGAGGATGGGCCAGTGGGCGTCAACGTGGCAAATGGGGTTCAATGTGGCCAAGTGCAAGGTGATGCACATTGGAGCCAAAAATCCTAATTGTGTATTTACACATTGATGGGGTCCGAACTGGCAGAGACTGACCAAGAGAGAGATCTTGGAGTTGTAGTAGATAACTCAATAAAAATGTCGAGACAGTGTGTGACTGCAATAAAAAAGGCCAATGCTATGCTGGGGATTATTAGGAAGGGTATTGAAAACAGATCAGCCAATATCATAATATCCCTATATAAATCAATGGTGCGACCTCAATTGGAATATTGTGTACAATTCTGGTCACCACACCTTAAAAGGGATATTATAGCTTTGGAAAAAGTGCAGAAAAGGGCAACTCGAATGATAAAAGGGTTGGAACACTTTCCCTATGAGGAAAGGTTAAGGCGCTTAGGGCTCTTTAGCTTGGAGAAACGATGACTGAGGGGTGACATGATTGAGGTTTGTAAGATTATGCATGGGATAGAGCAGGTAGAGAAAGAGGTACTTTTCTCCCTTTCTCACAATACAAGAACTCGTGGGCACTCCATGAAATTGCTGAGCGGTCGGGTTAGAACGGATAAAAGGAAGTACTTCTTCACCCAAAGAGTGATTAACACTTGGAATTCACTGCCACAGGAAGTGGTGGCGGCTACAAGCATGGACGGCTTCAAAAGGGAATTAGATAAGCATATGGAGCAGAGGTCCATCAGTGGCTATTAGCCACAAGGTATAGATAGGGACTCTGGAGCAAGTGATACTCTGTCTTCTTGGTGCTTGGGGGGGGCAACAGTAGGAGGGCTTCTAGTATCCTGGCCCCAGTGCTGGACCTCCTGATGGCATCTGGTATTTTTGGCCACTGTGTGACAGAGTGTTGGACTAGATGGGCCTTTGGTCTGATCCAACATTGGCTTCTCTTATGTTCTGAATTAAAATTCCAAATATGAAAAATTTGTGCTCTATGTGCATACAATCATACCAGTCTAAATTCATTGAAATCAAAAGAGTGAAATTACCTCAGCAGAGAATTGTACAGTTGATTGTTCGGTTCAAAATAATGTTTTTATGTGCTTTAGTCAGGCAAGTTTTAACCTAATAACTATTCTTTTCCCCTTGCAAGGTGACAAAGTCATTCCTTTATGTGTTCCCCAGTGTGGAGAATGTGCCTCCTGTCTGAATCCTAAATCAAACTGTTGCCTCAAAGGCCAGTAAGTCTGTTTGAATCTTCTATTATTCATTTGAGCTTGCTAGTAAAATGGAGCAGTTAGTTCATGATAGAGATGCTGTCTGGATCTCTTCAAACAGTGTCTGTCAACCTCAAAATTTGATGCCGGACAAGACAAGCCGATTTACCTGCAGAGGGAAGCAAGTTTACCACTTCCTGTGGACAAGCACCTTCTCTGAATACACAGTTATGCCGGAGGCTTCCATTGCAAAGATTGACGATGCTGCTCCTCTGGAGAAAGTCTGCCTGTTTGGCTGCGGGTTTTCTACTGGCTATGGCGCTGCCATCAATTCGGCCAAGGTGAGGATCCGTGAATGTGTGTGCTTCCCAGACAGGTGAAGTAAAGGCTTCTTTCCTCCCTGCTGGAGAAATTGTACACCCAGGAATCACCCTTCAGCCTTGTTCTTTTTTTCTTCTTTTTTTTCTTTGTTTGAGCTAAGATCACTTTCTTGCTGCCACTGGATCCAGGTTCCTAGTAGTTCCTCTCATAGGACGCCTGAACATTCTGCCACTATAACAATCTTATGTTTACATGCCCTAGGGAATGGGTCCCCAACTTTTCAGCCTGTGGGTGTTTCATGTGAGGTAAAATATAGTTGAAAGTCAGACAATAATAACAGTGAATGTCTTTATTTAACAAAACTGCTTGTGTCTTTCAGCTCTCCCTGCTAGTCTTTCAGCTCTCCCTGCTAGAGCCAGTTTGGTGTAGTGGTTAAGTGTGTGGATTCTAATCTGGGAGAACTGGGTTTGATTCCCCACTCCTCTGCTTGCACCTGCTGATGTGACCTTGGGTCAGTCACAAGCTCTGGCACAGCTGTCCTTGAAAAAGAGCAGTTTGTGTCAGAGTTCTCTCAGCCCCACCCACCTCACAGGGTGTCTGTTGTGGGGAGGGGAAGGGAAAGGAGTTTATAAGCCACTCTGAGACTCCAAGTGAAGGGCGGGGTATAAATCCAATCTCTTCTTCTTCTTCTTCTTCTAGTTTAACTCCTCTCTCCTGCTGCTGCTGCTTCTGCTGAGTCACTTCCTGTTGCTGTTCTCTCACTCTCTTTCTTCCCCTGTTCCCTTGGGTTGTCCCCCTATCTAATTTCCTGATTCACTTGGTTCCACACATATTGTTACAGGGGTAGGGTTGCCAGGTCCCCTAACAGGCTGGCGGGGGGATTTTGGAGGCATTCCAGGAGATCCCCAGTGTGATGGAGTCACCTGGAAGTGGTGATGTCGGGGGCAACGCTCAGGTTTTTGGACAAAACTCTATGGTAAAACCAGCTTCAAACCATAGAGTTTTGCCCTCAAAACAGAGCATCGCTGGGTTATGCCCCTGACAAGATGGCGTCACTTCCGGGTGATGTCATTGCGTTGGGGATGTCATGCAGGAATGTTGCTGTTTGGGGGCAGGGCTTCCCCCAACAGCCAGCCAGCTGGCGGCGGGCCGAAGTCCCAAAAACCATGGGGAACCCGTGCCAGGACCTGGGGCTGGCAACCCTATATGGGGAGCACCTTTGGAATTCCTTCATAGGGTTGTGGTCACAACCATAAAATGCCTGCCATGGGAAATGGAATCAACCACAAAATGGCAGCTGCAGGAGGCAAAGCCAATAATCAAATGCCAGGGAGAGCGATTATGTATGACTTCAATAGTAACTCTTTTATCATTTCAGGTAGAAGCTATGTTCAACAGGATGTCTTTTAAAATCAACATATTATTTTTAAAAAAATTCTTGTGGACGCACAGTTTACTTGCAGTCATACAGTAAAGATTCTTGTGCTGTGATACCAGCTGCTGCCAAAGCAACTTTTTAAAAATCTGCACAGCCAAACAGATTTCCATTGGCCAGTCAGCAGCCCTGCTAGGCAACGGCCCCATCTAGTCCTGCCCACTTTCTAAAAACACTTGGCAGGAGCCAGGAAAGGTGTTGGGAGGTACCATGGCACCCATTGGCACTGTGATGGACCCATGTCCTAGGGTGTCCTTTATCCTTTCTCTCTGTCCCAGTTGTCCTGTTCTGTCCTTTTCCTTGCATTCTCCTTTTCCTTCCTCAAGCCCTTTTCCTCTATTGTATTCTTAACACTGAATGCGTCCTACCTAATCCTGTCTGTGTGTCCATTCCTTTCCTGTCTGCCTCAAGTTTCCCTGGTCCGCATCTTGCCCCACCAATCCCTCCTTGGTCCCTAAATTCTTGTGAAGCTGAACTCCGTGTGCCTCTGAAAGTGAGTGGCCACAGGAGACGGGGCCTTTTTTGTGGTGACACCTAGGGATGCCAGACTCCAGGTGGGACGTGGGAATTCATTAGAATGACAGGTCATCAGACTACAGATATCAGTTGCCCTGGAGAAAATGGATGCTTTGGAGGATGGGCTCTATGGCATTGTACCCCACTGAGGTCCCTGTCCTCCCTAGGCTCCACCCCCAAATCTCCAGGAGTTCCCCAACCTAGATCTGGCAACCCTTCCCTCCCATCCCCCACCATTGGCCAGGGGGATCTGATAACCCTGGAGACATCTTGCTCAGGGAACTCATTCTGTGCAGTTTGCTTGGTACCACTGTAGACTTTTATACATGTAAGGAACACTTTTTTATTCTCCCTGGTTTTACTTAGTGTTTATTCCATATTGCAGCTAATTTCTTTTTTTTTTTTAATTTCTCTTTATTCATTTTTCATAACAAAGCAAACAAGAACATGCAAAGAATCCAATAATAAACACTCGACATTCCTACAAAAGAGTTACAGTATCATTCAGGTATTTTTGAACTTAAAGCCCCAGAGATAATAATAACAAATAACGAAAGCATCCTTTAAATTTCGACTCTTAGTATGTTACATCAGAACCCATTTTTGGTAACAGGTATTTATTGGCAATATGCCCCGTGAAGTAAGAAATGAAAATATCAGGAACCAGGTTGATTCAAATTTGAGGTTAGAGGACTGTAAAATTTGAGTTCTATGTACTTTATCTGCTATCTTAGCCATCACAAATTGATCCCATATTTTTTCATGCCAGGCTGCTATCGTTGGAGGATGAGGAGACCTCCAACATGATGCTAATGTCAAACGTGCTGCAGCCAGAAGTATCGAGATAATTTCCCTGTTCCTAGCATCCATATCATTATCCCAGTAGTTCAGCAGAAACACTTCAGGCTTAAGACTAAGATCTATCGAAGTTATGTCAGCGATCTCCTTCCGAACGTCCTCCCAAAAATTACTCATCCGTGGACATGCCCACCAGCAGTGAATAAAGGTACCAACCTCCCCGCAACCTTTCCAACAGCGTGGATCACTGTTCATGTTTATCTTCTGTAATTTACACGGTGTCATGTACCACCTCGAGAACAATTTAAAAAATTGAAGCCGAATGTTAAAGACATTCGAGTTATTAGCTGGCGAGGACCACACCTTCTCCCAGTCTGTTCCATCCC